GATACAATATCGTTAAACATTACAATCATGGATGCCGCACATACCCAGCTTCCCTCCGCCCAGGCCCCGGCTGCGGCCCAGGCCCCGGCTGCCGCACAACCCCCGGCCGCCCTCAGCCCCGGCGAAGCATGTCGTCCGAGAGGGGCCCCACGGCGTGCCAAAACTGCGCCTCTAAGAAGGTCAAATGCATCCGCGCCGAGGACCCCGCCACGGAGCGTTGCGACCCGTAAGTCAATCGGCCCCATTCCCACCCTTGGCTGCACGTCGGTATATGTATGCTAACGCTCCCGGGGGCACACAGTTGCGAGAAAGCCGACATGGAATGCGTCGAACAAATACCCGCACGCGAGCAACAGAAGCAGCCCGACACGGCTGCAAAGGTCCTCGAGGACCTCTCCAAATCCCTTAAGAGGAGGGCGGGGATCGCCAAGCGGCTGGCGGCATGCCCCCGGGACGCAGTCTTCGACGAGCAGATCATCATTGTCCGCGCAATCATGAAGAGCAGCTTGGATGCGCTCGAGGTCTGCCGCACACCTGTCCTCGGCCCTGCCACCACCCCTGCTGCTGCTTCCAAGGGCCGCAAGTGGCAGCGGTAGGAAGAAAACGGTGATGTCGATGCCCTGGTGGGGAGGGCCGCCGGGCCTCTCCGGCCAAATCCCCAAGTCTTCGCTCTCCACGGCCAGCTCGACCAATACGCAAATGGACCAATTACCAGGTACCGCCAGCAGATGGCGCACCTGATTCCATTTGTTGTTGTGGTCTCCGAGGCTCCTCAGGGAGAGGGACTCTTGTGGGAGACCCTGGCGGTTTCGGCGCTGTACGACGACCCGCCGCAGCAGCGTGTACACGTCGCCAGATTGCTGACAAGGATATCGGGCCTGGCAACGGGTTGCACAGCAGGAACTACGATGGTGGCGAGGACGGAAGAAGGGGGCTGGATCTGGTGCAGAGCTTGCGGGTTCTTCTGGCGTGGTGTTGCTGCTGTTGCGATGCTGGGACGATCCATTCCATGCTTACTCTAATGCGCGTGCTGGCAAAGTGGTTGGGCCTCTTCAATTTGAATCTGTGGGTCTACGGTGAGCGGCAGGAGAGTCCGGAGAGGGTGAGGGCTGTCCTAGCGACGTACTACTTGAATACGGTGTAAGTCTTCTCGCACTTTTGGGTTGCTGGTGGTATGCGGAGATGGACTAACCCAAACAGCGTCTTCACGAGAGAACGGAAAGTTGGGGCGCTGAGCATGAGCTACCCAAACCTCGACGCGTGCGTCGAGTACCTCGCCTGAGCGGGGGAGCCGTCGAACTCGACGGCCAGGATTAGGTGTTGCGTCAAGGCAGCTTGGAATGCCCAAGAGGTGTGTCAGATGCTGGCCGCTTAGCCACCAGGGCTTCTAGGAGATGCACAGTGGCTGGATCTCGTCTCTACAACCGAAGGCCGGCTCGAGGAACTGGCCAACTTGATGCGTCCACTGAGATGGACCGACAACGGCAGTGAGTTTCCCCAGCCTACTGGCGCTGTACACTTGCTCGATGCAAGCACGTCGACTGACATGACTGCCTAGACTCTCTGATGGATCATATCTCGGCCATCAGAGCCCTCCTGTATAGCACGGCCTCGAGAAATGGTTTCCGGTTGACCCATTCTACAGCCAGGAGCTCGTCCAGAAATGCCGAGATGCGGTCGAGAGGCTCTGTTTCCCGATACATGGTCACCGGATTCCGAACGCCACCGTCCTCTCGATGTGGGACAACAAATTGGCCCTGCAGATCCGGGACGGGATTCCACCGCCGATAGATGACCTGGTGGCACACAGATGATGGAGCGGGACCACTAGGCGGAGGACATGGAGCCCAAGAAGCGAGTGTTAATAGTACATGGCTTAGATACTGAATAGACAGCAATCAATAGCGGGTACCTCGCAAAGACAAAGCGATGACATGAAATGACTACCGGCTAGAGGTGTGCTGCTCTGTAAATACAGGTACAGTGCCTGCTGTGACTAGGTCCTGGGTGGCGTGTTCCCGGGTGACATCAGACCACTGGACCTCACCCCACACCAGAAAAAATGGCCGGACCTGACCCCGACCCCGCCCCCGCCACCGCCATTGAGCTGTATTGAGTCGCCCGGAGCTGCAACGGAATCGCGAACTCATCTGCCATTGAGACGTAACGGTAAGGTTGTCCAGAGTCAACCGAAAATTGGTTTGTTCTCTTTTTCGAGGTACACAATAAATCCTTGCAACTCATTTTCATCCCCCTCCCCCCCTTCATCACCATCCTCAATTAACCCCCCCCCCCCCCTCCAGCATCACCACCAACACCCTCACCATGTCCAGCTACGACAAGTACCAGGTAAACCACCCCTTACCCCCGTGCCCTCGCGGGACATCCCAAAAACAACACCCGCTAACCACCCCCCCCCCTAGACCCCCCTCAGCACGCGCTATGCCTCGGCCGAGATGATGTCCATCTTCTCGGCCCGCACCCGCGCCTCGACCTGGCGCCAGCTGTGGGTGTGGCTGGCCGAGGCCGAGAAGGAGCTGGGGCTCGACATCTCGGACGGCGCCATTGCCCAGATGCGCGAGCACGTCGTCGTGTCGGACGAGGCGTTCAAGGTGGCCAACGAGTATGAGAACAAGTTTCGTGTGAGTTTCCATGTTGGGCGTGGGGGGGAAAGTTAAAGACTGACAAGGGGGGGCAGCATGATGTGATGGCGCATGTGCACGCTTATGGCGACGTATGTTGGTCTGTGTGGAGGGTTGGCGGGTTGGGGTGGTGCTGACGAGGGTGGTGCGATGTAGGAGGCGCCGGCTGCGGCGGGGTCGATTCATCTTGGTGTAAGTGTTCCTGGTGTTTGTTTTGCCTCGGGGGGTGGTGTTGTTTGCCGGGTGGCTGACGGTGTCGTCTCAGGCTACCAGCTGCTATGGTATGTTTGTCTTGTTCGTCTGGGAGTGGGTGAGACCCGTCGAGGCTAACATCGACAGTCACCGACAATGCCGATCTCATCTTCCAGCAGCGAGCCCTCAACCTCATCCTCCCCAAGCTTGCTAAGGTCATCCAGAACCTACAGGCCTTTGCCATCGAGCACAAGGACCTCCCCACCCTCGGTTTCACTCACTACCAGGCTGTGAGTTGTTGCCCTTTCCCCATCTTCGTCGTAAGAATGCTGACCCCCTGTTGGTAGGCCCAACTCATCACCGTCGGTATGAACCCTCCAGTTCTCTCCCGCGAATGGCTTTAACCCCCCATTAGGGAAGCGCGCGGCGCAATGGATCCAGGAGCTCATGATGGATCTCGAGGACATTGAGACTGTCCGTGATCGTCTACAGTTTCGCGGCGCCCAGGGCACCACCGGCTCCCAGGCCACGTTCCTCGAGCTGTTCAACGGCGATGCCGACAAGATCAAGCAGCTCAATGCGATTCTCTGCAAGAAGGCTGGCTTCCCTTCTGTCTATCCCATCTCGACACAGACCTACACCCGCAAGGTGGGAGCATATCCATCGCCGTGTCGTGGGCATAAAGCTCACAGAAGATAGGTCGACCTCCGTGTTGCCAATGCCGTGTGCGCCCTTGGTGCTACTGCAGAGCGCATCTGCAGTGATATCCGCCACCTTGCCAACCTCAAGGAAATGGAGGAGCCGTTTGAGAAGAGCCAGATTGTACGTCCTTTCGGGATCTTCACCGCGGGTTCGGGACTGACAGCTCACAGGGAAGCTCTGCCATGGCTTACAAGGTAGGATCCAGGGTGGGCGATGGGGTATTGTCGCAGTCCTAAACACCTAAGCAGAGAAACCCCATGCGCTCGGAGCGCATCACCGCCCTCGGCCGGAAGCTAGCCCGCCTACCGGCCAACTTTACCGCCACCTTTGAGACGCAGTGGTTCGAGCGAACGTAAGCGGTAGTTGCCACGAGATGTAGTGCAGCCGTCGCTAACTCCAGAAACGACAGTCTCGACGACAGCGCCATCCGTCGCATGGACATCCCCGAGATGGTATGCCCTCCACGCATCCATTACGTGGCAGACGCTAACAGCATGCAGTTCCTCCTCGCCGACTCGATTCTCCTGGCCCTCGACAACGTTACCAACGGCCTCGTCATCTACCCCAGTGTCATTCGCTCCCGCATCGACCAGGAGCTTCCATTCAGTGCGTAGTTGTTGTTTGCCCCACCCAGAAGTGTCAGCCCTAACAGGTGTCTCAGTGGCCACCGAGTCCATCCTGATGAAGCTCTCGACTCACGGCGTGTCCCGCCAGGACGCCCACGAGGAGATTCGCGTGCTGGTATGTCCACAGCTCCTTGGTTGTTGGCATCTGATATCTGACGACCACAGTCCCACCAAGCAAGCGCCGTCGTCAAGCAGGAGGGCGGCAAGAACGACTTGCTCGAGCGCATCAAGAAGGCCGAGTTCTTCAAGGTAGGGCGCCTCCCCAAGTGAGAAAATTGGCAGAACACTGACACAATTACAGCCCGTCTGGAATGACCTTGACAGCTTGATGGACCCGAAGCTGTTTGTAGGCAACTGTGGCAAGATTGTCGAGGACTACTGCAACGGCGAGGTCAAGGAGAAGCTGGCGCGGTACGAGAAGGAGTTGTTGACGACGGAGACGGCGCAGCTGTCTATCTAAGATGGTGAGGTTTGGTGTGAGTGATGGACCTAGACAAGAGTCTGGCTACATGGATGTAGATAGACGGGTCTAGATAAAAACCAGGTAGTCGGAATCATGATAGTCATCCATTTTGGTGCTGGCTCTAAGGGGGTTCGGTTGAGAGAAACGTGCAGCGAGTTGACGGCCATCTTGTTCAATTTGGACTACATCCGCCCACCTTTTCGACCCCCTCCTCCCCCTACCCAAGTGCTAGTAGATATTCCAAGCAAAACAAATGGTACATCCGGTGTGTCAGGCTCACTGGAGACGGAACCCTTGAGACCCCCTTCTCCAACACCCACCTCAAGTACAGCATTGCGAATGGCGTCGTCAAACCAGCTGCTTGGAAATTCTTGCGGTTGTATAGTGTAGTGGTTATCACACTGGATTTTGATATGTACTTGACTTCCAGTAACCCAGGTTCGAGCCCTGGTACGACCTTTTCATTTTGCTATATGGTTGGGTGGCTGGTGGGGATTTGTTTCATTTTTTTGTTTCATTTTGCTGGGGAGAGGATCGATGGATTGGCGGGATTTTATTTTGGCTCTGTGTCTGATGGTTTATTCTCGGAAAGAGACCTAGAGGGAACCTTAGTAGGTAAGTTCCCCAAACAGCCCATCATGCCAGGAACAGACTGAGACGCTCTTGAAATTCTCTCAGTCACACGCGCATAACTCACGATAGCAAGAGAGACCCTAATTGCTCTCTCAACGTACTCCGCCACCCCGATTTCCTGGCTGGCTAGGTCTGGTGCGGCAGGAGAAAGGGACCACCGGACAATTCTTTTCTCCTTTTTTATTCAATGGAGACTTTGGTCAGAATTTGTCGTCCTGGGGAGAAAAACAACACTTGTTTCTACGTCGCATTTTCACTTGCATTTCACTCCGGGTCTTGGAAAGGGGGAAGTCGTGCCAAGATTGGTAAACCCTCACCCATCGTACACAGTACAGAATACTTATGCCACCCGACAAACGTCCCCCGAACAACCCGCCTGCAGAAGGAATCCTCCAGGCCCAAACATAGCCCCTGAGTCTGCCAGCGAAAAATATTACCGGCCACAATCTTTACAATGGTCAAGCCAGAGATCGACTATACGCTCTATCTGGTGACGGACTCGACTCCGGCCATCCTTGGCGACCGCGACCTCGTCGACATCGTCGACCTGGCCTGCGCTGGCGGCGTCACCATCGTGCAGCTTCGCGACAAGACCAGCAGCACCGCCGAGCTGATTGTCATTGCGGAGCGTCTGCTCGGTGTGACGACGGCGCACGGCGTTCCACTGCTTATCAACGACCGCATCGACGTCGCCCTGGCCGTGAGGTGCGAGGGGGTGCACGTCGGGCAGGATGACATGGGTGCGTTATTTCCCATCTCCTTGTTATTTCCTGTCTCCTTGAATATGACGACAAGACGGGGCTGACACGGCCTCAGATCTCGCCACGGCCCGGCGCCTCCTGGGTCCCGACGCCATCATCGGCATCACGGCTAGCACCGAGGAGGAGGCGCTCCGGGCTTGCGAAGGCGGCGCCGACTACCTCGGCATTGGAACCATCTATGCCACGCCGACGTGAGATACCTGTGGTTGCTGTCTTACCTGGTCCAGCAAAAACTGACAGTCATCAGAAAGACAAACACCAAGGAGATCATCGGGCCCCTCGGCGCTCGGAAGATCCTGGAAGCAGTTAAGGACGCAGGCTACTTGATCCCCACCGTCTGCATCGGGGGCATCAACCACGGCAACATCCAGCGTGTGCTCACCGAGAGCGAGATGATCTTGCCCAGGGTCCACGGCGCAGCCGTGGTCAGCGCCATTGTAGCAGACGCCGACCCCGAACTCGCCGCCCGACGGCTCAAGGACTTGATCCATAACATCCCGATGCGCCAGATCGTCACCCCACCGGAAAGCTGGGAGAATAGGAGCCTCAGCCTGGAGATATGGGAGGTGGTCCGCTCCATTCACATAAAAAAGCCCGTCTCGCACAACATGACGAATCTGGTACTCCCCCCGCCACCGTCAACGTTGTACCGAGAAGTACTTCTAACCACACATAACAGGTAGTCCAAAACTTTGCCGCCAACGTCGCTCTCTGCATGGGTGCATCCCCGATCATGGCGAACTACGGCGAAGAAGCGGCCGACCTCGCGAAGCTCGGCGGCGCCCTGGTCATCAACATGGGCACCGTCACGCCCGACGGCCTCGCCAACTACGTCCAGGCCATCCAAGCCTACAACCACGAGGACCGCCCCGTCGTCTTTGACCCTGTCGGGTGCGTCCCCTCCCTACCCCCCCCCTCCAACCTCCACTGACAACCCCGTTCCAGCGCCGGCGCTACGTCGGTCCGCCGCAACGCAGTCCGCCACATCCTCTCGGCCGGCCGCCTCGCCGTGATCAAGGGCAACGAAGCCGAAATCCTAACCGTCTGGGGTTCCTCGGACGAGAACCCCGAGCAGCAGCGCGGCGTCGACAGCTCTAGCACGCTCATCCCCACTCAGAAGGCTGTTCTCGTCCGCCGCCTCGCCAAGCGCGAGAAGTGTATCGTCGTCCTGACGGGCGCCACGGATTTTGTCAGCGACGGCGAGGCGGTCTTTGAGATCCGCAACGGGCACAAGTATCTCGGAGAGGTCACGGGGACGGGATGCTGCCTGGGCACGGCCATCTCGGCGGGCGTGGCGGTGGTGCCGGGGATACGCGGCGTGGTGGCGGCCATGGTGTACTACGAGGTGGCGGCGGAGCGGGCGGCCAAACGGGAGGGGGTGAGGGGACCGGGGACGTTTGTGCCGGCCTTTCTGGACGAGCTGAGCGAGTTGAGGGCTACGGTGGCGAGGGGGGATAGCTCGTGGGTGGTGGAGGGGGCCAAGGTGTTCAAGTATCAGGCGGAGGGGCAACCCGAGGTGGTGAACAGGGCCACGGAAATAAATTTCTGAACAGCAATGACTCGAATAGAGGCTGCGGTTCTTGGATCAAAGCGTGACGATCCGCAACCCCGGTGGCCGGAACGGAAATAGTGGGGTGGGTAGCATCTATAAGTGCCGGGAACATGGAAGCCGCCCGGGTTACCCCGCACTCCGACTCGGGGGGAAGAGCCGAGGATCGGGAACAAAGCGGTGGTATTCGGCTTGGATGTCACTGTTTAGACTACATATTCAGTCCAAGTACCCGTGGCGGTTTTTTCTTTTGCCTTTTGAACCTCGATTTCATCAAATTCAGCATTCACCCACGTAAGTGTTTTATAAACTAGGATTACCTCTACTCAAATGAACTCCCTGTGCCACTTCCATTTCTTCATCTCATCTCGTGACATTCCATCGGCACACGTCAAGTCAACAACAGACACTGACACTTTGAACCAGACAACAACCACCATCCATCCCGTCCCACAACACGCAAAGCCCATCACCGCCACCAACCCCTGCAAAAATGGCCAGCCCACCTTTCGTCCGGCGTCTCCGTAAGTCTCCCCCCCCCCCCCCCAAGCCCACCTTTTCACCAAGGTTTCTATCCAAGGCATAACATAACAATGCTAACCCCCCAAAAGCCAACGCAGCAGTCTTGTACGTCCCCCCCTCCCCCGGCCCCCTCCCCCCCTCCCCCTTCCACCCCCCCTAACCCTCCCCTTCACAGCATCTGCGACATCCAAGAAGCCTTCCGCCCCACCATCCACCAATTCCCCCACGTCCTCGCCACCACCACCAAGCTCCTGCGCGCCTCGGCGCTACTCTCCCTCCCCGTCTTTGTCACGACGCAAAACCGCGCCCGCCTCGGCTCCACCGCGTCCGAACTCCAGCCCCACCTCCCCGCGGACCTCATCGCCGTCGACACCGACAAGACCCGCTTCTCCATGTGGATCCCGCCCATCTCCACGCATCCATTCTTCTCCACGGACCGGGGCCCGACGGACGTCGCCATCGTCGGCATCGAGGCGCACATCTGCGTGGCGCAGACGGCGCTGGACCTCCTGGCGGCCGGGCACAGGGTGCATGTGCTGGCGGACGGGGTGAGCAGCGGGCACGCGGGGGAGGTTGGGGTAGCGCTGGCGCGGCTGCGGGCGGCGGGGGCGTCGGTGACGACGAGCGAGGCGTGGTTGTATGAGGTGCTGGGGGACGCGGGGGCGCCCGAGTTCAAGGGGTTGGTGAGGTTGGTCAAGGAGAGCGCGGGGGCGACGAGGGGGGCGCTGACGGGGTTGGTTGGGGGGGCCAAGATCTAGGGTCTGGGGGGGTTATGGGGAATGGGGGAGGGGGGGGGTGGTGGTGGAGATCGGAAATGGGGGGGTATGTAGTGGTGGGGGGAGGGGGGTTGTCATGTCAACAATTACTGCTTCGTCAATGGCACTGCTCTTTTTGGCATTTCGCTGTATTGATTTGGCAATTCAGTAAGCCTATCTGGGCAGAAAACAAGACGCTTGCCATGTCTGGCTACGGTGCACCAAGTGCTCGACTGTCTGTCCGCTGGCACCGCCTCCCTTCCGCCATTCATCCGCCATCTTCCCAGCCGGACACCTCACGGCACTAGCTCATGGCACCTCCTCCTTCAGCCTCTGCGGCCCCTCACCCCCTTCCGGCTAATCCGCGGCGGATGTGGGCGTTTTGGGCGGGCCGCTCGGCTTGAGAAAGGCAAACGCCGTCGCGCTCCCAAGCGGGTTCGCCGACCGTGGCACCGCCGACTGCTTCGCCGCCTCCGCGTGGCTTGTGGTCGCCGGTGATGCGGGTCCAGCATCGCCCAACCCGGTACAACCACCACCACCACCACCACCACCGGCGGCCGTGCTGGTGCTGATGCTGCGCTTAATGTTCCCCCAGCTGCTCGCACTGCTACTGCTCAACGGCTGGCCCTCCTTGCGTCGGACATCCGTGGCTGACCTCGACGTCGTCGGGGGCTCGTAGGCGGCCCCGGTCTTGGCCGAGCCCGGCTTGGTGGGTCGCAGGACTTTCATGCTGCGGACCCTCGTGGCCGGTTGATATCCGCTCAGAGGCGTGCTGTCCCGGGACGACGTGTCTCCACTCGGCCGCCACGGAGTGCGGATGGCGACGTTCGTCTCGCGGCGGTTCCCATCCGGCGACTCGGCGTTCTCCTTGGCGTTGGAGGCTTCCGCAGATGATACTCGGGGTCGCTTTTCGTTCTCGGCCCCACTCTCGGAAGCGGTGCTTGTGGCGACTGGGCCCTTGTCCGCCTCGTTGGGCTGGCTCTTGGGCGACACGAGGGCCTCGGAACCGTTGGAGGAAGGCTTGCTCTCCGGCTGCACAGCCTCGTCCTTGGGCGCCGCTGTCCTGTCTGCCTTGTCTCCCGACACAAACTCTGGCGCCGCAGCATTAAGACGGGGTCTCCAAGGGGCGCTGTTGACTGTCATGAGGTTCTTGAAGACAGAGTCGTCCTCGGGTCGCACAAAGGGCACACTCAGCTTGTCGCGGTTGTTGCCGTAGAGCGTCATCAGGTTCTGGGAGAG